TCTCTCTATCTATCTATCTATCTATATCTATCTATCTATCTATCTATCTCTATCTATCTATCTATCTCAATATCTACATATCTATCCCTCTTTCGCTCTTTTATTCTTTTCTGTTTGTTGCATTATTTTTACAATGCTGCAACGTGCACTTTAACTATATAAGGAATCGTAATAGTCATTCCGATAAATGATACATGGCGAATCGAATATTTGATTATACGGTACACCATTCATTTTTTTATCTCCTCCCATCCCCCTCCTTTCGCTCTCTCCCTCTCTCTCTCTCTCTCTCTCTCTCTCTCTATCTCTATATCACTCTATCTCTCACTCTGTCTCTCACTCTGTCTCTCACTCTGTCTCTCACTCTGTCTCTCACTCTGTCTCTTTGTCGTTGTTTTCTGGCATTATTGAAAAATGAAAAAAAGATAAGAAAAGAAAAAAGTCCCTGAAATTGTGTGTCATTGTACGTGTGCTTTAACGCGCTGTCAGAGTGCGAAACTGCATTGAAACTCCGTGGCAACGACGTATTTATTCGCGCGCCCTCAACGCCGCGGTGAAACGTGCAATTTTACGAACTTTGATCTGTGAGCGGTGGGAGGTTGGTGGGATTGGTGGGGTTGGTGGGGTTGGTGGAGCTGGTGGGGTTGGAGGGGGATCTTGAGGGAGGCTGGGTCTCGGCTTCGGCCAATTACCTATAAAATAATCCCTCGGCTAATTAATACGTCTTTTCTCGTCGGATCGGTGTGAAATGAGATATCGCGTTAAAGAGTGTTTCGTGCGGCGAATACCCGCGCTCTTCTTGGGTTTGCATTATTTTATAGAGAGGCGGCAATTGCAATGCCGGACGAGGAGGAGGGCATCGTTGCTTCCGAGTAATTATCTCGCCTACCGGTAACGCGATAATCGACTGGCTGCCGAAGCCATTGAATCGGAAAAGGAGACCATCGTACGCACGAGATTCCGAGCGTACGGTTAAATTGCGGTTGCCAGAGCCGTAGACTAATCCACTCGTGCTCGGATTCTTCGAACCGCGAAAGTATTTCAAATAAGTGTTCAATTATGCCGGACTCTCTCGTCAGCACATCGAGCATTAAGTATAATTACGTAGGGATTCGAAGACGAGGACTTTATCGCTCGTTCTCGTTGTCATCGCGGACGTCCTCGCGTCATGGGCGGCCACGCTCACCGCAAAAGAATAAAGAGATGAAAAAATAAAAACGATAAATGGATAGATGGATAAACCCCGTGGACGGGCGAATGGTGGATTGCGCGTGCCAACGTCTTTACGTGCCAAGAGGGAGGGAGGGAAAAATTCGAACGAAAAATATGAATAATGGAATGCCCTGGAGAGGAGGGGGGCGTTGTACCGCCTCTGTCGCACTCGACACCTGCGACGAAACCTAATCATCCATCCGAATTAAATAACATTACCCGGAGGAAGCGCGACGAATTAAAAAACGCGTGCACATCGTATCAGCGATGATGGCTAATCACCAATGATGACCCTCCCTACCTACCTCCCTCTCTCTTTTAATCTCTCCTGTCAGTCCCGTCAGTCACTCTACAAAAGCATGAAAAGCTCCTTGGTCACCTTCTGTCAAACACTCGTTAAATCGCCGTAGCCAAGGGAGGATAAATAGAAGCTGGGACGGCGGTAATCGTGGTAGCCGTGCCCCAACCCTCGAACATTCGCCGAACGTTACATTATTAAAATTGCTGTTCGCGAGCTGGGAAATCGACGTGGCCGCCACGACCGGCGCTCGCTTGATCGGCGGACGAACGACCGATGGCCGTCCCTTATTATCACCTGGTGCCAGGCATCGGTGATAGCCAGCGGTCCACCCCCCACCCCCCACCCCCATCCTACCAGGCGCCACGGCACATAATCGCGCCCAGTCATTAACGCCGACGGAAGCCCGTTAATCTACGCCGGCACTCGCGCGGACTTTGCTTTCTTATTGGGAAACCGCAAGGACGTGTTCTCGGTAAGGAACCTTGGTTCCTCGGACTATTCGCCGACATCGCGAAAAATTAAACGTCAAATCAATTTTTAATCTTACGATCGGCGCCGCTCGATCCCTACCACCTGGCCCAAGTGGCCACGGCTTCCGGGTGCTCGGCTCGATCGGGCCCATCACACCTACCGATGATTAATCAAACGCGTCTGGCCTGTTCGCAGTTCAATCGGAGCGACGATCACAGCGTCGTCCTCAACAACGTGGAGACGAATTTGGCTGGGAAGTACCGCTGCGAGGTCTCGACGGAAGGACCCACTTTCATCACGAGAACCGAGTCCAGCTACATGCACGTCGTCAGTAAGTATAGCAGCTTCACTGGACGTGAGGCCCGCAGCCCAACCTCCCTTCCCCGCACACGCTCCTTTGCCACTTCACGGAGACAGTGTAACTGCCTCGTTTGCCTTGGACGCGTGCCCGCGCTCCCGTAACTCCGGGGTACAAAGTGCAATCTCGAGTGGCCCTGACAGCTTTCGATATTCGCACGAAACAGGGGAGAGGACGATCGAGGTCAATGAAATTAATCGATCGATTCGAGTGATTGGAGGAGCACTTGCCGATCCCCGACGAATCTCTTTCTCCGCCTGGAAAGCTACGCGCCCCACTTGGCGTTGAGTCGAGCACGAGTGCTAAAACTACTTTCACCACGGCCTACGGACAATCGAATCGACTTATCTTCCTTATTCTTATAAGGAATTCTTATCCTACTCTACTCGTGCCAACGACTGACTGACTGACTGACTGACTGACTGACTGACTGACAACTTCGCATTGCGAAACATCGACTCTAAATCAGTTTATCGGCCGTTGATAACAAAATTGTTGGCAATTGTCTGCGATACGACGACATTATTTCTCGATCCCATCTTTCTAGCATCTTCGTCCCCGTACGAATGCCACTTCGCCGCAGAATCGAAGCCGCACATCATTGTCCAGTTAAGTCGACGCACATTGGCTCGAAACACCAGAGATTAGTGACACTACGCGTTGGTAAGCCGTGACGGGGATCGTCGTAATCGCGAGCGGGATCGCGGATCGTGTGGACGCGGGTCGGAAGTGGGGAGAGCCGTCACGTAGGAATATTGCAAAATAAAGAGGACGGCTCTCGTCGTCCGCATGCAAACGCAAGGTACATGACGAGCTTCGTCGACGACGCCATTGCCACCTCCTAGCACTCGTCCTAACGATCGACTTCGCCTCGACCTGACACGCTGTTTTATATTATTAAACGGAGCCGCGTGGTGATCTTCGGACCGTGGAGGCTTACGAAGGTCAAGCCAATCCGTAAGATATAATTGAAATTGATAATGGACCGGGGATGTCCAGTTCATTCTTCGTTCATTCTCGATGGTAGAATCGATGAGCCGCGGATTTTGTCAATGGGCGCGCGGCGGCTGGGACGGTGAGAAAAGAGAGTTCATGCCACGCCTCCGTCCTAACTGATTCCGAGGCGAATCGAGCCGTCCAGTTTTTGCCGATGAATTGTTCGCGAGGCTGTGGTCGTCTACGATGCCGCCGCCGCTCGCATCGTCGGCAGGCAGATAGCCGCAAGAAAAAGCGGATAAAGAGACGGAGAAGAGGCCGAGAGCCGCAGACGCGAAATGAAAGGGAGAGGAGATAAAGCGAAGGCAGCGCTGACCTCTCTTCCCGTTCCTACTCTTTGTCTCGCCTCTTTCATTTCAATCTATCCCACTCGCAATCTCGCCGCGTGCGCTATGAAAGCATAATCCTGCCAGGCTTGTCCCTCGCTCGCGTCCCATGCATTGTCGCCATAATCGCGCCCAATTAAAACGTACTTAGCCGGAGGCTGACCTGCCTCGAGCCGACCCTTTTCTCGTATTTGCTCTCTTGAAAAATAGCCTCTCTCGCTCCCTCGGCGCTTACTTATTTCTCTCTGTAACTCTCTCTCTCTCTCTCTCTCTCTCTCTCTCTCTCTCTCTCTCTCTCTGACTCCCTCTCTTTCTCCTTGCGTGGCAGTGATAACGAGGGCGCGTCTTTCCGACAATTGATTCGCCTGGACGGGCTAATAGCACCTCCCCTAGCCTTTTGCCTGTCGCCACGCGATGCCCGTACTTTATGAAAACCGAAGCAACACGCTCCGGTAAATACATGGCCATCTAGATTTTTTACTCGCTTTCGTGCTGTCCCATCGGCCCCCGACGCGATTGTTTGTCTCGCCCTTCGACCGCCTTTGTTTTCCTTTGTCGTGCGGACTGATTTCGCTGGCTGCTTCGATACATTCGGCAATGCGGAAAGGCCAATTTACGGAATGACGAGTAAACATCTCTGAGTTTGTGCCTACAGAAAGCCTACACAATGCCTTTCCCATTATTCCGAAATTAGTAAACGCACGATGTCATTTGGCCGCGATGCGTGGATAATCTTTGTTAGAAAGGTCGCGATCGAATTTTAAGGGACGAGCGTGCAGTGATCGATAAGATCGGCATCTTACGAATGCTGATTCGAGGCTCGATTAATAAGGTTATCGAAGGGCGAGACGTAAGAGTCCGTGGAGGCACGTATGCACGACTTATTAGAGAATTTCCACTCTCTTGCCTTCCAAATCACATCTAAATTATTTATTATTTTCAATCAGCGTCGGCCAAATACACGTGTAGCCTACGTGTGAGCTTAATTATTAAACTTTGGATACGCTGCGTAGCCCATTGCCGAATATCGTAATGGGCAATGGAATTTAACGTGTACGACGTCATTACGTGGGCATTACGTCGATTATTATTGTAAATAAATAAGGCGCAAAATAATGCGTAAGGTATTAATGGATGAGGCGTTCGACGAACGTAGGTCTTTACGTAAATCTTACTCTTTCGTATTTATAATATTGCATATTAGCCGTGATTTATTATTATTTAATTTCACGTAGCCATTAATACCAACCACCCGTACATTGCTTCATCCTACCTTTGTATAAAAACTTCTCTTCTTGCCTTTGCCGTAAAAAAAAAAAAAAAAAAAAAAAAAAAAAAAAAAAAAAAAAAAAAAATTCTATTTATCATTCTCCTATTTATCATTCGCTTACTTGCACGACCATGTATACGAGAATGTAAATGGTAATTAATTAAGCGAAGAAGAAAAAGAATAATGGAAAAATAATAAGCAACAAATAAAGAAAGATTTCGTCTGCCCATGCGTATTTTAATAATCCATAGCGTTAAAGTTAAGTGAAAGAATAATTTCAATGTACTCGGAATGTTGGAATTATCTCGTTTATTCTCGACTATTCATCATTTGCCCAAGCTAAATCACTAATTTAAGGTGTACACTTTTGCTGAATAATGTATCGTCTCACGTTAATTTCTTTTGCATAAACCCCAGAGCTCAGGAGAGCTAAAAACAAGGACATCAATTGTTAGGTTGTACAGTCGAATGTCGAGTCGTCGAATATTGGTGTCGAGATTGAAAATTCACTAATAAAATAGATTGGATTGCGAAAAGCTGAATTGACTTTTTGCCTAAGTTTTGCTAAATATCGAGTAGTCGTATCACTTTCTACTTCAGCGATCACAACTTAAATTTCTCCTTCTTACGAATTCACGAGTTATCGAACACGTCGGCTGATTAGCTGCAAAAATTCATAGGTTTTATTTATCGATCGATCTACAATAACACCTGACACTCGACCCGATCGGCCCCCCTCCCCCCGCGACTGCCATTTAAATGTATACAACGATACAAATGGTACAAATGACAGGAGATAAATAAATTAATGGCTTGGCGAATATCATGGAAAATGATATTTCCGTCGCCTTTAGTATTTATTACCTTCGTCTAATAAGAGGCTCGATTAGGTGCTTCAGCTAAAGAATTTTGCATCTACATCAAAATGTCGACGTCCCGTTTAACCGAATTAATAATATTCGCGAGCAGCTCAATCGCTACTACGACGTATCGTTTCAATGCTCCGTACTTGGCCGGGACATTGGATGATATGAAAAATGGAAAAATAATGCTCGCGCATCTAAGTAAAAGATTCGCGTATCGAGCAACTGACATATAAGTTTAAAATAAACATCGATAGGCAAAACCTACCCATTAACATATCTAAAAAGTATAAACTTATCGTAATAATAAAAGTGTTATTTATAAATGGTGTTTTCTAAAAGATCGTGAAAGCGTTACAAGCTCGCACATAAAGTTTAGGCAAAGAATTTAATGAAAGTACTGTATTTATCTCGATAAATATGCAATACATTTATATTATACGCTCGTGAATGGAGCGCATGAAACGAGAGTTAATGATAATTGCAGCAATACCCATGGTTGCGCAAGGAAAATATAATACACTTTAAATCGAAAAGCTAATGGGCAAAGAGCAAAACTTTGTACACGTGTTAAAAGCCGCCGAGATTATATCTTGGAAAGTATTTCAAGCCACGCGTCTTCTTTAGCGTGTTAAACTCGCTTGCGCATTAGCGACTGCGCTCATCCAGTATTGGAAAACTTGGTGAAAACGGCTAGTCAGACTTTACAAATTACGAGGACGAATTTTACGAATATCTCAGCTCTCCTTCAACTCGCTCGGCCATTGATGCAGACGATGTATCAAGAACACGAGCGAGGCCCCATCGAGACCCCGAGGGCCGAGGCATCGCACGAAGCGAAACCTCTTGGCGAATAAAGGAGACGTATTACCCTATGCGCCTCCTGCGATATAACTATATCCGCGCAACTATCCGGCCCCTACGCATCCGACATTTATATTAATGCCTCTCCAATTGCAAATGGCGCTGACCCCATCGCTAGCGTACGCCATACCCAAGCGATTATATCTTACGAGTTTACTTGTCCGCGAGCCCCACGCGTCGATGATTTATTCAGCGAGAGGGACAAATTAAATATGCATCCCACGGCCGGAAGAGCTGCCGTTCGCTGACGTTGTCCGGAGATGAACGAAGAAATGAAATTGACAAATTGCAGGCTCGTTTTTACGTGGCGCAACGCTTGTCAGTTACGAATACTCGAGCGAACGTTTCTCGCTCGAACGCCTACGAGAAGCTCGCCGCTATCTCCCAGTAGTAAAGAGTAGAATGGCATCGAGGCTAATAAAATAAGAAGGCCAAAGTAGAACAATCGAGGGGAGGATGAGAGAGAGAGAGAGAGAGAGAGAGAGAGAGAGAGAATGTACGTGGCGACGAGGGGACTGGAATCGAGACAATATTGCAAAAGAGGCGAGGTGATACAGTTTTGCGGCCCCAGCCCGTTGCCACGACATTTCACGTAATGACATCTAAATGACCTCGGCTAATTGATCGGCGAGCTCTTCTGGTGCATACCTAGCAGAAAACAAAAAGGCGAAAGAAACGCACAAATGCACGAGAATAACAGAAGCTGATGAAAAAGAGAAGCTCCGAATGTCCAAAATAATGGAGACCAGCAGTTCAGTCTGCCAAGTTATCGTAGTTATCGTAACCGTGACTCACTTCCGTCTTTATTTTCCTTCACAGAGCTGCCGAGGGGCAACGTCACGGCCCACGTGGAGAAGCCCAAATACGCGCTCGGCGACACCGTCCGAGGAAACTGTACCGCACCGCCTGCCAATCCGCCGGCCAACATCACATGGACCGTCAATGGACATCCGGTAAGTGCGACGGCACCTTCCCGCGGAGAACCGGTACGCGCGCGATTTCGCTGCACCGACGCGATCGTCCGCCGATCATCGATTAAGAGCCGGGAGGGGCGACGGGTTTGTCGTGGCGGGGAGGGTTAGGAGGTAGGTGGTAGATGGTAGGTGGTAGGAGGTATGAGGGAGGAGGGAGGAGGTAGGAGATGAGAGAAGCAGGGAACCGTAATGGCCATTTAGAATCGCTTGGCCACTTCCGTAATATATTCGCTCGGATTCTTCCATTCGTCGACGGTGGCTTTGATTTATTTTCCCGCTTAGCTGCGATTACAGGCATCGCCGGCTCGACAACAATTTACATTCTTTTCCATTTCATTCCGAGCGAGCGCTTTATTTTTCGGCTAATTTCGTTGGAAAAAAAAAAAGACATCCCTTCGCTGTTTCGCCATCCACTCGCAACGCTTAATATAAACTTTTTTCGTATAAATGTTGATTAAATACAATTGTTAATAATGGCACTGGTCGCTTGATACGCGAACAAAGCTCTGCAATATTAATAATAATGTCAGCTAATAAAATGGAAAACTTTGGAAATTGTTGGAAAAGCCGAGAGAGAGAGAGAGAGAGAGAGAGAAAGAGAGAGAGAGAGCGATAGTGGAGGGGGACGGGGGAGGAATGCTGCTTGATGATTAATTAGCCTTTTTTAGTGATTTGCGTGCGAGCAAAGACGATGAAATGAATATGCAAAACGCCAATCTCAAAGACAAGCTACACCTTTAATAATTAAAATATTATAAATATAATTAGACACGTGGCGTGATTTCTCTTCTTCCGTACCAATCAATACGACCAAGGTTAAGCGAGATTCCCCTTCAAAGTATCGCTTTCCTGCGGCGATAACGAGTACGTGTACTTTATAAGCACTCCCTCTTGGAATTTTACTCGCTAACGCCCGTACGACTCGAATTTAAGCTGGTCAGTTTTCACCGACATTTTCCGGAATTTTCACTCCCTAGCCCCGAGCCCTATTGCCTCACTCCCCGCTCATTTTACATCGATATAAGGAACTCTTAACACCCACCGACGCCGACAATTATAAGAGCACTTATTTTCCATGTAACTGAAATTGAATTAAAACCAGTCAACCACGGCAACGTCGACGAACGGTGCATCTTTACAGGCCTACGAGGGAATCGAAGGCTTTTTGCGCAACGGGCAAGGAGGCTCTTTTTCCCTTCTCCGCATTGACAATTCTCCATCGGTCGAGCATAACTGTACTGATCGGCAATCACGTAAAGACATCTCGTCCTGAATATTGAAATGAAAATACGAAATTAGCACAATCCACGTAGGCACTAAAACGCACGTCTGAATACATACTGCGTTAGTGTATGATGAAGGATAACCGATAAGGCATTACTCGTAATCGCCCCTTGCAAAAAGCTGTAAGGACGCGCGCGCGCGCGCGCGCATGGCCAGTCCATCCTGTGCCCGAGATTTTCAATTTCGCACCGCCGATCATTTACCGACGGTAATTGCACGAAGTCACGCCCCTCGCGATAAAGAAGCGGACGAGAGGACAGAATTTAGCATAATTGGCATAACTCGGGCGCGGAATGTAGTGGAGCCAAGGCCGTAACGCTTCGCGATTTGCATACTCATTCCACAGAAATAGGAAATCAATCCGTGGGGACGACGGATGCGTCTCAGCCTTGGCTCCTAAGAGAGAGATAAAAAAGCCGGGTCCGTTTCACGCGCCGCAGACCCTACCCCCACCCCGGTCATTTTTTAGCGAAAGTAGCCTTACATATATATCTATATATATATATATGTCGCTACGGGGTAATCGCGAGATCCGCGTGTCTTATCTCCTCAGGTCGACAACGAGAGCTTCAACGCGAGTAAATAATTCTACGGTAGCCCGGACCTGTCGCGCGTTAGCCTCCCTTTCGTCGATTAAAAGGTCGATTTAAGCCCTGACCGCGAGCACCCCGAGGCCTCCTCGGGAATAACAATGGGAAGTCGTCGAGCTTTTATCCCGCTTCCGCGTCATTATCATCGGGAGATATTTAAGCGTCGCGGGTGGCGCGAAACTCGGATTGCGCGCGGCTTCGAAATTTCTGCGCAAATTACGCAAGCTTTTCCCCCTTTTCTCTTATATAATAACTGCTATATAACCAAAAAAGGTGCTAACCAAGACGTAAATGAGCAAATGTAAAGGAGCCCAGTGGCCCAACCCCTCCTGTCTCTTTCCTTTGCTTTGTTTCGTACTTTATTAACGCTGCGCCGCGCGTAGCGTATTCGTAAATTTATTCATCATCTATATTTATTGCTTATTTGCATTCGAAATTAATTAACCACAATTGCCCCACCGTATTGCTATAACGAGCAGTTTTCTTTTACTTTTTCTATTTTCTTCTATTTTTTTTTTTTTCTTTTTTTTTTGTTTCATTTCTTTTTTATATCCTTGTGCCATTAAAGTATTAGCATTATCGCGATGCGCATTGCCATTCACTATAACGTCGTAAAGGCCTCATTATAAGACGCTATAAATGCTCTATTCGGTGAATTCAAAAGAAACTTTGAATGCGGTATCTCGCAAAGTCGGTAGTTGTAAAGGGTACGCAAGCTGTCTTACTTTTATCTGTTCACTTTCTTTTATCAGAAACCACTCAAAATTCTTACTTTCCATCTACGTTCACGCGCAAAGTCACTTGACACTAGCAAACGCTCGAATCTGCTGTCAAGAATAACGCAATGAGAATTATTTCAAATGCGTAAGGTACGCGCGCGAGCGAGTCAGAGGCAGACAGCGAGAGAGAGAGAGAGAGTGAGTGAGAGAGAGTGTGTGAGAGAGAGAGAGAGAGAGAAAGAGTGAGATAGATAAAGAGAAAGAGGGGGGAGGAGAAGATGCAGAAACATATGCATCTTGTATATTGTTTTCCAGTCCCGGAATGTAATTCATTAGGTAAAAAAATCACAATTTATCCAAATAGTACTGATATACAAATTGTACTGATTAGCTAAACCATGATATGAAAAATATCCCGTAAATTCATAAAACGCAAAGTAAGGAGATATAAACGCAAAGAAATATCTTTTATATTACAAAAAAAAAAAAGAAAAAATAAAATGAAAAACAAGAAAAAAATGCATTATCGGTATAAACTTTTTCATAAAAATTATATTAAATTGAGAAAATATTCTATAAAGTACATACTGCAGATTTTTCGAATTAATGCAAATTGTCAAATAATAGTAATCATAGAGGATTATCATCAATACTTATTATAAAAAATAATTTGGAATATTTCGCAATTGGCGAACATGAGATATATGCGTTACAGACATACCACGCACAAATAAGCGTGACAGACAATTTCAATAAATAGCGACGAAAGTTAATTCAATGTAATACGCCCTGGGTAACAATTGTTTAAATAATGAACTGATATAACTGATCGTACATTATTCGGTAAAAGCTTCTTAAGAAAAAAAAAAAAGAAAAAAGTGAGGCCAGTTCGCACAAGTGTCCGAGAAAATTCGCATGAAAGTTTAGCGGCTCGATTGAGTATTATTATATTGAAAATTTAGCACGTCACTCGATCGATTTGGAGGCCCGTTGGCTTTAAATTTTGGACAAACAGAGGAGAGACGAGTCGGTCGTTAATTTACATTTTGCCTCGATCCAGCAGCAGACATAATGCAAAGTTTCCC